AAGCATTGTTAAACTGTCAAGATGTGTAGGTGTCTCACAGATGGGATGGAAGATCTTTAAGATATGGTTATAGAAGAGATCAAAAATTCTGTCTGTAGAACATTTCATCAAGTCAGGTTTTTAAAGTTTCCCAATTTTAAAGTTAAATGCCACAAAACGATTATAAGTTATTTTATATGTTACTTATCTTGTATTATTATATCTTACTTTCATGTTGTCTCAATTTACAATAGACCGCATTTTCACGACTATGAGGCGCATATAAACGTCTTTTTTTTCCCCTCAAAATGTGCGGCGCGCCCTATGTATGTTGTTACTGTGGACGTTGCAGAGACCACCATGAGTATGTTAAAGGGGGAAGTGTGGGCGTGGATTGTGTATAAAAGAACAGGTATGTGCTTTATGCAGAACTCCTCATCTCCTCATTGAGGAGATGATGAAAGAGTGGCTGAGGGAGGTGTATGTAAGGAGACCAGGTGGTTTTTTTCCACGCATCACCATCGCTGTTAATCTGTAAAATCCATGCGTGCCCATCTCACAGCCGATGTGAAAAACATGGTGAAACAAATGAATGCTGTGCTTGCTGTTATTCCGGGAGGTCTGACAAAGGAACTTCAACCGCTTGACATCGGTGTGAACCGGCCGTTCAAAGTAATGCTACGTTCACGCGTCTGCTGCTTCAGTTTTGCTGCTGGTACCAGTTAGTTCTGACGTGCGTCTGAAGCAGCTTTGCTGCTCTGGCTGCGTGGTGCAAAAGTGTGTCAGACGCACGTTGGGCGGAGCTTCACTATCCTTTCTTTGCCTTGCAGCTATATTTGCTGTCATCAGTGGGAACAAAGTAGTTTTAATATGTTTTTAAGTGAGAAAGTCTACCTGAAAACTTAATCATTGCAGTCAGTTCATCCAGATTATTATCCTGCCTTCCAATATTATTGCTGTCGGAGCCGCTCAGACCCCCACATACAGCGGTACGCTGTCAGTAGGATCCCATTCAACAGCAGCCTCTGGCCGGGTCGCCTCCTCGCAGTTCACCGCGGCAGCTGGTAGGTGTTTTTCATCTAAATAATCTAAACTGCAGGCACCAGGATAATAAAAGCGAACATATTCTGCTGGCAGATTTCTGCATTTTAAGTTAATTTATGCGTCAATAAACTGCTTCAGAGGAGTGATCACAGCGCTCTGTGTCATCAGCGATGTGTCTGTCTCACGGCCAGCTCCCAGGTTTGACTAATACTTTGTAATAAATACATGAATAAAGCACAAACATACTCAGTTTTGCTCCCGCTCTATTTTTAAATATGCAGTAAAGGTATTTAAACGTAGTAGAGGATATGTACCGCGCCCTATAGTCCGGTGCGCCTTATGTGTGTGTTAAATACAGTAATGGCACACATAACTGAGACTGCGCCTTTTAGTACGGTGCGCCTTATGGTCGTGAAAATAGGGTATTTAGTTTAACTAATCACTGACACTAAAGCTGCTGATTAGTCAGAGTGGGATCTGATGTTTTTCACCTTAATGAATCTTTAGTATAATCAAAATACATAATAATAATGACTAACAATACATAAACAGTAAATAAGTTAGCCAGTGATTAACTTCTTGCAAATATGCAACAAACCNCCTGCAGCATGACATTGTTTATTAATCAGTTTTATAAAACAATTTTATTTTTATTAAAAAGTGCTGTGTTTGTCCGATTAAAAACATCCACCAGAAAGGAGTGATGTAAAGCAGAGCACGAGGATTACGGCTTAAAGTCAGTAGACCAAGAGGCTCTTTTAGCAGCTAATTTGCACACGTCAGAAACTTTTCTTTTAAAGCTAATATCTAAGTCGTAAAAATATATAGGTCTTGGTCTTGGTTCAGCCTTTAGAAGTAATCTGAAACGTAAACATCATGAAATGGATTTGCATTGAAAGCAAGTGTATTTCTTCTGGGTTGAAAGATAGACAGTTTTATATTTCACGACAAATTAATACACACGGCGCTAAAGGCATTGTTGGGTGATATTTAACTGTAGGTGAGTTTGAAAGGCTTGATAAAAGACCTTTAGTACCTTTGCAAGGCACTGCTGGATAAAACAAATCCCTTTGGGTTCAGGTTGGACATACCTGTCAGAGAGCAGGAAGGGACAGACATCAGGCACAGGAGGGGTCGAAGGCTGGAGTTTTGCCAGCGCCATGATGTGCTCAAAGGTGATGTCTGTCTGTGTGCAAACATCCACCACATGGATTTCCTGAGGGGGGCCGTGAGGGCGGCCACTGGGGGTACGCCTGATGACCTGCACAACGACAGGGTCCCTGGAAGCTCGGAAGGCCTCCACAGTCTCATCATGGCTCGATTTTGACAACTCCTTCCCATTTACCTAAAAACGACAGAAAATATTGCAAACATTTTACCAAGGCAATTTAAAAAAATGCTTTATTTTGACTGAAATGCCACAGATGAGGTTGGATTCAAACTTTGTCAGTAATTGAAATGTTGCCATGTTCTCTCTGTCTGTACAACTCCAACATGCATAGATGCATTCAGATAGAATAATTAGTCTTCCTTTTTTAATCCCTTTTAAGTCTTCTCAACAGTCAATCACAGAGAAATCTTCACCAATTCAACACACATACAAGTTACGAGTTTGATGCAACATTATCAGAAGATTAGATCAAAGCCCAAATGGCTTCTGTTCACTCATTCCATCTTCACCCTCATCTCCACAAAATGAGCAGATTTTTCAGTCAGACTGAAAACCATTTGCACTGCAGCTGGCTCACATAAAGAAAATCATAGCTTCATTTAGCCTAGTAATTTCTCTGAAGGCGAAACCACGAATCTGGAATACCTCGGGAGAGCTTGCTTTAGAAGAATTGCTGAAAGCAGAGATTATAATTTAGATAACTAAAAAAAGTAAGTCAAAGGCAGCATAATTATAGATAGTGGTTGATTTAAATGTGGCTTTGGAGAAAAGTATTTTCCTCACAAAGCAAGGTGAAAAAAAAAAACAGCTAAAGGAACCATTTACCTTCACATGCTTGAAATGAAGAAGCATAGGAAACAGCTGAAAAACATCCAAATAAGCAGAGCTATTGGGAGTACTGGCAGAAATAAAAACACATCACCTTACTGTTACTAGAACACCATGACCTAAATTCAGAAGCAGCCGACGAAGCAACCAGAAGGGAACTGTTACAGAGGAGCTTTGTTTGTTTTAGAGTTGAGAAAAATTCCACCACTAATCCTTTGTTCATGCTCGTCACAAAAACATATCTCAGTGATTTAAACCCAGTGGGAAATGGCTCAGTATGATATCAAGTAATCCTCAACACATCCAAGCATAAATGATCTCTGGATCCCAGTTGAATGCCGACACTTTCACACGTTTTCTGTAAATCCAAAACACCTGCTGACTATTAAAGCAGATCATTTTTATACATGATGATTTTATGCAGTAAATGTGAAAAACTTTGCTACCATCATTGATTAGCAAAGCCTTTTTCAAATGTGTAGTCATGCTATTGAATTATGTTTTTACCAACCAAAATTGCGTCCTGTGTTTGGAGGTGTACCAAATAAAAAGTGAGGGAGAAAGGTTTGAGCAAGTCATTTGACCTTTAAAAAATTAAGGGAGTGCAATTTTACTATTATTTATTTCCATTTGCCTTTTTCACATTTTCTACAAAATGTTAAATACTTGCAATCTGAATTAATTTAAAACTGCATACAGAATTTTCACTTCTGTTGCACTTTCTACCTTTGAATGTTTATATCGGAAAATTCAAAGATAAATCTAAACTAATGGGGGTTTAACCTTAAATGTAAAGAAACCCCCTCAGATTTCTGCAGTTTTTACTTTTTTGGAAGCCTAATTGAGGGAAAGGTAATAAACATAGCCACGTGAAGCGAGTACATTCAGAGAAATACTAGCAAGTATTAAAAAAAGAGAAAATAACACCTTTTGTTTTAAAAAGTGATTAGAACGAGATAGAGTTTAGTGAATTTTTAACACTTTTCATGTATTATTTAACTTGATAATGTATTAAGTAACTCTAAGCGTGAAGCCTGAATGTCGTTTTGATGCGCTTGTTATTGTTGAACGATTCTCCGATAGAGATTAGTAAAATATTTGGAAGAAAGTTCGAACCAGAGGAGGAAGCAGGTGCAGAACTGATTTATGAACCGTTACATCATCCTGACATGAGCCTGCAATGTACAATTTATATGTAGGACAGGAGACACAACAATGACCTGCCCAGCATGCAGTCTGGAAAAGCAGGACAGGCAGGGGTAACCTGCATGGTTGGAGACACTATAGAGATTTCTGCATGAGGTGACTGTGGCTTGGTAGGAAGGGTATCCTGCAATGCAAAAGCTGCAGGTTCATTTCCCATTTCCTCCTATTACTCTAGGTGTAAATCTGTTCCTGTGATGCACTTAACTGTATTGGTGTTTTGGTGTTAAGCATCTTGAATTGTTGATACAAAAATACAATAATGACACAGATTTAATCAATTTATGGATGTTTTCAAAAAATATATATTTTTTAAACATGTTATTCTGAAGCCTAAATTGTGTCCATCTTTTCCTGTTTCTTTTAATACTCTACTTGGATCCCCAGAGACTTAGTGATGCTCCACCAGGAAGATTTTATTATCTGAGCTGTAACATTCCTCATAGACGCCTCCTTTAGCTCTAGTTGTGCTCTGACCTGCTCCAATGTCTCCAGAGGTGACCTTTGTTTGCTGTGAAGTTGCATTAATCACCTGCGTGGGAGATAAACTGGGTCAACAGTACTCAAGTGAAACTGCAAGACGATTTGGAGGGAAAAAAAGGAAAGAAAGTGTGTGTAGTTTAACAGCCTCCCCTATTCCGTCCTTCCCCTCTTTTGCATATATTCTTCATTTTTTGACAACTCAGTATGTATGAAAAACTACATCAAATATTTTTGAATTTTGTAACGCATTAAAGAATCATTGAGCACTATAATATTTAGCTTTAACTGTCCCTCGTATTTTTTTTTTCTTTGCGTTTCTGTTTCCTGCTCCTCAGCCTAATCCTACAACATCCAGCCTGGTGGAAACAAAGGAGCCGAACTGACAAATGAGGCAGCCTATAGCGTTTGACAGAACCCAAGAAAAATGATCACATTTCCCAGCTCTCCCTCCGGTACTGACTGTCTGGTCCAGCCTCCTCCTCCTCCAAGCCACACCGTTCAGGAATCGTACTTGACAGCCACAATAAAAACAGCAAACATGTAAAGGAGAACAGAAGGAGGGGGAGTGTGAGTTTGTTTTTGTTTTTATTTACTGAATTTGAACAGAGCCAGATGGAGCAATTAATCCCAAATAATAGCATGAATATTAAGCAGTCTTAAGTCCTGCATGAAGGACTTTGCCATATTTATTTTGCCCGCTTGAATGCAATAAGCATTGTTAAACTGTCAAGATGTGTAGGTGTCTCACAGATGGGATGGAAGATCTTTAAGATATGTTTATAGAAGAGATCAAAAATTCTGTCTGCGGAACATGTCATCAAGTCAGGTTTTTAAACTGATTTCTATTAACCTTGTTGCCGCTTTCCCACCATTAACCCGTTATCCATTAAAGGAACATTTTCCCAGTTTTAAAGTTAAATGCCACAAAAAGATTATAAGTTATTTCATATGTTACTTATCTTGTATTATTATATCTTACTTTCATGTTGTCTCAATTTACAATATATTTAGTTTAACTAGTCACTGACACTAAAGCTGCTGATCAGTCAGAGAGGGATCTGATGTTTTTCACCATAATTGAATCTTTAGTATAATCAAAACACATAATAATAATGACTAACAGCCAGTGATTAACTTCTTGCAAATATGCAACAAACCTGCTGCATTATGTACACAGCCATGATGAGAATTGCATTCCCTCACTACAACTTTTTACACATTCAGTCTCTGTTACAACAGGTTACTGATGATTTAAGATATCAGTGACTCTTATAAATGTTCCAAAAAAAAAAAGTTAAAAACAGTCCACTGGACTTTGTTTCCAAGTTTGAAGATGATTTTGTTTCCCACCCAATTCAAAATGTCAGGAATAGCGTTGAGTTCGAGGTTTGATACAGTAGCCCATCAAAACCTTGTTATTGTTTTGAAAACATGAAAATTGGAATCCAGGACGAACGGGTCCACCCCTTTGGAACGGGACGGACCCGTTCATCCTGGATTCCTGGATGGGAAGCGAAACGTCTTCAGACTTGGAAAACAAAGTCCAGTGGATTGTTTTTAACTCTTTTTTTTGGGAATGAGTATGACCTGGATGACTGAGAATCTTCGCCTTCTTATAAATGTCCTATATGTTCTATATGTTTTTAAGATAATTAAGTTTAGAGATTATTACCAGGATTCTGGTTTTGTCTGCGTTAAAACGAGATCCAGCGAATGCAGATGAGAAAGAATCGATGGAAATTCTGGAATCTTAAACATAAAACAGCACAGGGCATTTCACACATCCTGGGTCAGCACATCCTTAATCATCCCTCTAAAATAGCATTTAAGTTACATAAACACAAACCAGCAGTAAGAATGCAAATATGATAATACAAACTAGATTCATGTAAAGAATTTGGCTACCAAAATCATTTGCAACAAATTGTTCAGCAGCTGCAGCTGCAGCCGTCAGCGGGTCCAAAGCAACCTCACAGCTGCTTCATGTCCCCAACTGCTCCATATGCAGCAAGTCAACATGAATTATCTTATCAGCCTGGAACCAAACAATGGCAGTTACTCAGGAGAGATCATTTGTTCACCGATTGGGATGGGAGTCGATCAGGTAAATGTGAAGTTGGAAGAAAATGGGACGGCGAGACGGGAATCCTGGATCAAGACACATCTGCTGGCTGTTTGCATGGGGATATGATGCGGCTGCTGCCAGGAGAGAAATGTGTTTTCATTTAAAGCCCCTGAGACAAACACCCGCTTCCCAACAACAAACGCAGTCAACCAGCTTAGCATAGTGTTACAGAAGAATCAAGCCACTTTTTTTCTGTTTCCTTCATTTCTCAGTTGCAAAGTCCCTCAGCTGCCAAAAACCAAATAAAATAAGGTTGTTTTTGGCAGAGGAAGGAAGTATGTCTTAGCTCTGGTTAATGTCAAACAACAGTTAAAGATGTCCTAAGCTATTGCTAAACTACAAACCTAACTTTGGGAAAAGTCACTCTTTTTTTCCAATCAGTGCTCTTACTCTGAGGCTGCTGTTGCCTACAGCGTAACACGGACTTGGAGATGCTCTTACCTCCGTTCCATCTTATCATTTATCCTCTAGGCTAGAAGACAAGCATAGTGGAACAAACATGAAGCAGCTTTGTGCCTTTCTTCAGGTGCCTCCT